GTGTGCTCTGTGTGAGTGTGTGCGTGTGTTAAAGGGGTCAACAAACATTCTCATAATGTGCGCTAATGTGCATAATGTAGGCGACACGCACACCTGCACAGAGCAACTCTTGCATGTAGTAACCAAGTCAGCGAGCGACACACGTGCCATTGCGGCAGCCGCAGCCACAGCCAGTGCCACCTGCCACACGTGGCACGCGGAGACAACAAACACTGAGAACAGGCAATTTAACAGGCCATCAACGTTGATGGCGTCGACAATGAGCTTGTTGATGGCAGCCGCTTGCTTAACAACAATAACAACCGGGCCAATAAGTAGAGCAGCGGCAACTCGTCTAAAACTCATTCAAAGGTTTCAAAATCCAGTTAACAAGCGCCATTTGAGAGCAACAAGGATATCAAGCATTTAGTGAAGAGCTGACGACATACAGTCATACAGTCTCTGATTATATATCCATATAGTTAAAAAAAGAAGTTTACATTTCAATTTTATCGAAGTTCCCTCTACAAGCTACAAGCTCTCCTGCTCTACAGGGCGTATGCGTAATGAACTATTTTCCAAATTATGAGCTCGGCATACACATGTAAACAATATCAGATTCCAGTGATAAAAACTATTTATCTGTATGCAATGAGCTCGAATTCCAATTGAATATTAATTAAATATTCAGCTGAACAACTCAAAATTGCAACTGCAAATTTTTATGCTCTATGAGCTACTTATGGAAATAAATATATTTATATTTGTGAAGGGAGGAGGTAATCCAATTTTTAGTTATATGTAAGGCGCAATAATGAAATTGAATTTAAATACATATAAAAATATGCTACAGTTATGCACAATCAATAGAAGCCGCTTAAATTCCAATTACAATTTAAATTTTCACTTAAGCCTCAACAGAATTTCACAACGCGCAACTGCAACTAAGAATTTTTTTATTATAGATAAAGCTGCGTGATGCACTACTTTCGGAGTGGCTGCAATCACAGCTGAGGCAGCAGCAGTTGCATCAAAGGGCAACTAAAATGAAGCCCACTAAAAGCTGGCGCCTGTCGCTCCGGTGGGACAAAAGTCACGTCGTTGCCATAGAGTTTTCGCTGCGATGAATTTAAGTGCGCACGTAGCGCGCCGTGCACGCCGAGAAAAGGAATGCCTAATGTAGGCAATGAAACTTTGGCCGTTATCTTTGGCTGCATATGCAATATTTATGGGGCATACGTCGCCGTGTTGATTCGCCACAAAATTGTCAAGTGGCTTAATTAGCGCGACAAAGTGTTTTTGGCCAATTGAGCTGTTCTCGGCCTGCCAAATGTCCCTTAATCAGCTTACAGCATATTGTGCTGCCAGGTGAAGCGGGCTAACGCCAGCCGCCGGCCCAACTACGCTTCTTAAGCCGCTTTATGCTGGCATTTTCTGTTTGACTCCGGCTCTGCCACAAAGTAAACCACATTGCTCTCCACAACTCGTTCTTTTTCACATTTTCACATTGCTTTTGTTGTTAAATTCATAAAGGAACTTCTGTAGCGTTTAAAAAAATACGATTGGGGTACTCCAAAGAGAGCTGCGAGTGCAGCTGGATTGTGGATTGTGGCTTAAAGGTAAAATAAAGTTTTAGTATTACGATTCTAAGGCAGCTTAATAGGCTGCTCTGTATCGGAACTGCCTAGATTGAAAACAGAATCGTTCTCTTTGCAAGCGTGCAGCTGCTTACTCGATGTTTCCTGTGTCAGCTGGGTCCAGTCAGCAGTGACCATTTGCCCTGTTCTCAGGTGTTGCAGGTAATATGAAAACCTTGCTGAATGAGTTGAAAAATATATTTTAAATTAAATAAAAAAATATTAATTCTGCTATATATTTGTGAGCTTTTATATTTTATATTAAATTAAAGCTAAGCTAGAATTTTGAAAAATATTTATAAATATTTTATTAAAAATAAATAAATTTCCTTAATTTCATATTTTCCACCTTTTGTATATATTTATGTTAGCTTACATATTTTAAATTTAATTTTAAGTTGAGTTAGAATTTTGAAAAAAAAATTTATACAAATATTTAAAAAAATTTTTTTTTTTTAATTTTTTTAATATTTGTTACAGCAGATAAATTTTTTATTTTCGACCCTGTGAAAATTTATTTAAAATTAAATTTATAAAACTAATTTTTTGTATATACGTATATTGTAGCTTATATATTTTATATTTAATTTTAAGCTGAGCTAGAATTTTGAATAATATTTCAATTGTTATAAATATTTTTTTTGAGTATATTTCAATGAAAATAATTAGATTATTTTATTTTCTTATTTTTCATCTTTTAAATTTACTGCTAACAGAGCATCTTCCAGCTGTTACCACTGCTGCAGCCCGCATTCGTTCACAGCCAACGTCGTCTGCCTCTGGCACACACAAAAGGCAGGAAATTGAATAAAATTGCCATGTTATGATTATGGAAAGGAAGCGTGCAAGAAGTAGTTCAGCTAAAAGCAGTTGCCGCCGCTCAGCGGGCGCAAAGTTTTTCATTTGCTTTGAGGCAAAAGCCAAGCAGATTATTCGAAGTCACATTAACTAACTATCCGGGCTGATAATGAGCCAGTTGACATTTGCACTGTGACTGCATGGCAAAAGGGCAGCCCAACAGCTATATGCATTGCCTTGCAATTTTAATATTAATATTATATTTTATTTTTATTGTTATTATCGTTGTTGGGGCTGCTGCTGTTATTGTTGTTATAAATGTGCGAAATCAGCGCCCAGCAGGAGGCGATATTAAATTTGTGTTTTAATTTTATTAAACAACGGCATCCACTTTACACATCAATAACGCCGCGACTCCAATTGCCGCAAATGAAAGCGAGCAGCAGCAGCAGCAACAACAGTTCATGTGGCAGCAATCGAGCTTCCCTTGTGGCTGAGCGTTAAAATATTGACATGTGCTGCTGTTGTTATTGTTGTTGGCGGTGTTGCTGCTGTTGCTGGTGTTGCTGGTGGTGGCGGTGGTGCTGCTGTTGCTGAAGCTTGGTTGGGCTGCTGCTGCGGTGCTGGTATCACATGACCAGTATTGTTGCTGGCCAACGCGTAAATAAAGCGTAAAATTCTCTACGAGTTTTTTTCGCACATTGTTTGTTGTGTGAGTGTGCATGTGTGTGTGTGCGTGTGTGTGTGTGTGTATTTTTTTTAAATAAAAAATGAAAAACACAACAATCAAATGCATTTCACTGCATAAATGGGTGTGAGTGTGCGTGTGTGGTGTGTGGTTGTGCGTGCGTTAAAGTGACCTTTGGCTTTCATTGTCGCCATAGCCAGCGCAAACATTTGTATACCCCATAGAAGCGCTTGTACAGTGAAGGTATATGCAAAGCAGCGAACATTTGGTGTTGGACGGAGAAGTAGACTTGATTGTAACATGTAAATATGTAAGGAACTTGAGCATATAATCAATAAGCGCTCACAACAATACTGGTAATCAGTTGCGAACAGAAACGTCGATTATTTTATTTGTGTAGAAATGTGTTTCAATGAGACTGAATCTTTAAATAGCTGGACAAGAAGAAGTAATAGTTTTAATAAATGAATATTGCTAACTATTAAGACCGCTTAGCTGCTGAAATATATAATAAGCTTTGCCATTTGATCGTCATGTGGCTGATCTGTAGTAGGAAAGGCAGCCAGCTGAGAATGAACACTTATCAGGGAAGTAATTAAATGTCTTTTCAACTAAGCCAAGACAAGAATTTGAGAGGTGTTAAGCATGAACAACGTTTTAATAGCCAGTTGCTGTTGTCGTCAGTCTAGTTGACAAGCGAGCATTGAGCAATTAATGATCATAGCCCAACGTCAATATGATCGAGTATAGCAACACACGAAGAAACACTTGCGCCCTACTCTGTGGGATATAATGGCAATTGAAAAAAGTTTTATACAAGAACTTTAATTAAAGAGTGACAAACAGTTCAGCATAGATCACTGACTCTCACTCAACTGAGATCAGCATAGATCGCTTAAGCTCAAACAGATGTTCTATACCATATGTTAAGCCAGTGCTCTATAAATTCACATGAGCAAGCACTCTCTCCACTCAAAATCAGCTCTGCTCTTATGCCAGCCTAAAAAACTATAGAGCATTACTTCAAAGTCGTGTCTTACTCTTCTACTCCCCATGGAATAAAAACCACAAGTAGCTCCGTTGGGCCATGTGCTTGGACACCATACATAATGGCATGGATGTAGCTGCAAAAGACAGCCACAAGCAAAGTAATATTTCAAGCTGTTTTTGTTTTAAAGCAACATCCTTGCCTATTGCTGCTAATTGGTCACCCTTTAGTAAGGATATTCAAAAATGATATGGGGTATATAGTAGAAAATAGAGAAACTTAAACTGAAACACATTTTTGCAGATATATTTCACATGAAACTGTTTCGTGACTTCTCTAGACTAGCTAAAGTCAAATTGCTATATCATAGTGCAAAAATAAATATATTAAATTCAAACACTCTTCCATAGATAATATCAAGTCAGCTGTGCTACAGGGTATCGGCTAGTCAGCACAGCCGCAGTTGCTGCATGCTCCATTGTAGCTGCTGCTCTGGCACTTTATTTGGCTTCTTTTTTATTTTTTTTTGCAGCCTCAAGCTGTTTCGTTAATTGCATATTTAAATTTATGCTGTTAATTGTTGGCCATCCACGAGGAGCCACTGCCGGTCGCCTTTTAAGTTATGGCCGGTCCTTTGGCACCCGCCCAGCCAGCGCTTCCGTTTCCGTCAAGCTGGCCGGTCTGGCTGAGTGGCTCAGATGCATCAACTGCTACGACGTCAATTTAATGAATCCTTTTAAAAGCACTGCAAATGTACACATCCTGTTGGCCGGGACAAGTTGGAGTGTCCTTCCATATCAAGTTGCGATAGCTAGTTTGACGTTTCTTTGAGCAAAAAAAAAACTTAATTTAATTTCTAATTATAATTAACAATGTAATCTTCAATTAATTCTAGTCAAGTTTTCCGTTAAAGCCAAGCCAAATCTTATTTGAGTTTGCTGTTTTATTAACCATAATTGAGTTGCAATTCCCCTAGATGCTCGTTATTGAAGATATAAAACACATTGGGCTGATAGCGAGAGCTCATTGAGGAAATGCAACGAATTGAGATAACAAGAACATGAACAAACAAACTGAATACACATAGAACTAAACAGAGACATTGAGGGCGTGAGAGGAGTTGTTGTTGCTGTCGTCGAGTCGAATGCAATGGCTCAAAACGGCTTTCGCTTGGCTCTCCCATAGCAGCTATTCGCACATAAAACCAAGCTTTAACAGGGCCTCAGCAATGTTTGGTTTCTCCAGTTTGTGTGGCTGCGGCTCCAGCTTTAGCAGCTGGTCCATGGCATAGCGTTTCATAGACCGCGACGGCGCGTGTGGCATCAGCTCGTAGTCGTCCTTGCCGTTCTCAAGCTCCCAGGCTGTAGATGGAGTGGGCAGCAGGCCGCAATTGGCAAAGGCGCGTGTTATATTGCGGGCATGGGTCAGATTGCCACGGCGGATCTCGCCCTTGACCACCAGAGGAGCCGGTGGCCAGTAGCGCGGCACGAACAGCTCCCGATCCTTGCCTCCGCTCTGCTGCGGCGATTTGCTGGCCATGATGTTGCCCTGACTGGAGGGTCCCATGGCTCGCTGTGTATTAGCATATTCCTCCGATTTGTTCGCTGTCTTGCCAGACATATTGTTCTCCTTGTTGGCACCGGCAGCTGCCTCGTTGGCCTTGGCCTTGCAGCGCTCGTCCCATTGCTTGACTGTGGGTATGTAGCGTTTCGGCTGGGAGCTACCCAACGGCTGCGGCGACGCCTGCTGCTGCGGCTGCTGCTCGGGCTGAGCTTCAGGTTGTGTTCCACGCTGCAGGCATATGTAGCGACTAGTTGGCTGTATACCCTCGGCCTTTTGCTGCTTCAACTCTCGCTCGTCGCGCATTTCGCGCAACACGCTCTCGATGTGCTCCCGTTTGATAATGCGCAGTCGGTTTACGCGCACACGCTCCTCCGCGGTGAAGTCGACGGGCAAACGCGTCAGATGAACAATGATCTGTGGCTCTTCATTTGGTTCGCGCATGCGTCGCTGTTCAACTAGCTTGAGAGCTTCCAGGGCCACCTTGCGCTCCTGCTCGCGTCGCTTGTCATCGGGCACAGACTTCATGAGTGATCGCTCCTTCAGATGTTTTTTGCGGCTGCTGGACAGCGAGGAGGACGACGAGCACGTTGACTCCTTGTCCGACATGGCACGCAGAGGGCGTGGTGACTCCTCCTTGCTCTCATCACTAGTGACTGCAGCCTTCAGCTCTTTGCATTGAACTGCTGAGATTTTCGAATGGATACATTGGTTTGTCGGCTATGCTTGCAGATACTTACGCGGTTTGTTGGCTCGCTCGATATGTTGGGGCTTGGGGAAGCCCTTCCAGGGCAGCAATAACTTGGGCTGCGCCAGCGGCTTGCGCACGTCCAATGCCTCGAATTGGCGCTTCAGGTCGACGAGGCGCAAGTCTTCGGCATCTTTCAAGCGCGGCACAAACACACTCGCATTGATATTAAGCTTGGCGGCAGCCTCTGCCTCGGCTGTTTCTGCTGCTGCCTCCGCTGCCGAGATGGTCGCAGTGGTTGCCTCTGAGGAGCATGATGCAACATCTGTGGAACTCCCTTCGCATTCGCTATCGCTGTCGCTATCCCTGTAGAAGCGCAATAGCTCCGGCAACGGCTTCTTCAATATCTCAAAGACGGCGCGACTCTTGATCAAGTTGTGCATGCTTTGGCCGTGAAGTGAAGTTAAACACGCTCGATGTCGATACTTAACTGGGTAGCTTAGTTTAGCTTAATATAAAATTGAGTCTGAAAGCCACAGTCTGTTGACTGCTTCGATAATAATATACAAGTATATACACATAACAGCTGTTGTCTGACAGCTATGCTCAGGCCTGCTGACAAGCAAACGCAAATTTCGAGAGTGAGAAGCATAGTTGGGGAGTGATTGACTAGCAGATGCCCTCGACTTAGCAGAGCCTCTTTAGCCAGAATTAAAAGTCAAACTCTTACAGATTCGATAAAGGCTGGAGATGTTGTTAGTGGCTATCGAACTACAGGTTACTTGCTGCACATATTATCGACTGTTTATGTGACCCTCGCCTTAGCCACATCTACGGCTTGGCAATCTGTATGGCTTCAGCAGCTCTTGGGCTTTAAACTTTTGTATTTATATTACAGAAAGTAAGCAAACAATTTGCCTAGTTTGCAATTGGTAGCCATTGTAGAGAGTTTTCCTTAGCTGACATTTACGAGTATTTGCACAATAAACGTGGGTGGAGAAGGCAAGTGAGCAACTCGGTCAAGTGCAGTCAGCTTGAAGATGGGGAGCAGCGGTAACGACATTCAATAAAACGTTAGCTATTATTATGGGAACATGCTGGCTCACACACACACACACACACACACCCTCACACACATGCAAGCGTCTGGAGCTGCGCAAAATGAAATGCAATGAAATGAAATGAAAGAAGCGCACAGAAATATGCAATTTCACCTCAATCACAGCTGTAAAAACAAACAAACAAACAATGGGGCAAGCACTGAGCTGAGCTGAGCTGAGCTGCAGCACCGTCACTGCAGGGGTTCGTACCCTTACGCCCTATCCAACACTCTGCTCGCCCCCTTCGTAATGTTCCGTATCCTGCTTATCCCGGTCGTTATCGTCATGTGAGCCACATGCTGTTTGTTCTGCTCGCAGCTCGCAGTTCGTTCTTTTCATATCATTTTGCAGGTGCAGTTAAACGTAATTACTGGTCTGGGCTGCCCTGCTCTTACCCCTTTTTGGCAACGGGGCAAAGCATCTATTGAGCAATTGTGCAATGTATCATACTGAAGACGAACCACTTGCAATTCCAATCGCAGCAAATTGCCGAGCTGTGTCAGGTGTCGGGCGTTTTGCAAACGCAATTTGATCTATGAAAACACATGAAATCCATATTTTTTATCGAATTTTGTGATAAATTGATGTCAATAAAATGTATATAAAATAATTATTTTTTATTTATAAATGTATTTATATACCTGCAAATATTTGAGAGAACATAGTTGAATGTTGGCAAAAATGAAATGGAATTTAGCTTGAATATAATACTTTTGTTAGCTTATTTAAAATATCTTAAATTTTACATTAAGTTTTTAGTTTGTTTTTTTTTTCAATACTTTTTTTATATATACTTGTTATTGTAAAAATATTATAATAATAATTTTGACGATAAAAATCATGATAAAACATAAATAAAATATAATCAAATAATATATTTAATATTTTTAATTTTGGTTAATTATATTATTTTTTTGAATATTATAGTCATACTACAAAACATCCAAAAAATTTATTTAAAATTTAAAAAATGTAATAAATTTTTAAAACTAATATATATGTAGAGCAATAGACAGAAATATCTATATTAATATTAAATAACCACAAAAAAATATAAATGATTAAATATTTTTATTATATAATAACTTTCAATTTAATATAAAATCTTAATTAAAATCGCTTGTTGCTCAGCAGCAAAATACAAATTAAACAAATTCCGATCTTTTCCAACTTTTTATAAGTTATGATTCGTAGCCAGAAAGATTCTTCTGTAATCCTCTAATGACTAAGCTATATATGAAATATATTTAATGTTATTATGTGGATAATGCTATCCCTAGGTTTGTTAATGCCCGCTTGATTCGCATAAAGTGTATCAAATAATTAGCAATTAAATACAGTCGCTGTGCAGCTGAGCGGCTTAATGGAGCGTTCTTTGTGTGGCTCATTGATGTCCAATCAAATTGGCACTAACTGTCATGGACTAACGCATTTTATAACTCATTAAATTGACTTTAAGCCACCTTTTTCGCTTTTTCGCTTTGGCATTAATCCGCTTGTTCAACTTTCATTACATTTGCGCTTATCTGCATAATTGGAATGAATGCTTAACGATATTTGTAATTTAAAACCAAATTAAAGAAACACAACAACAACACATATATAGAAGAGAAAAATTAAGCCGAATGCAAATGTGCATTGACATATGAAAAACACATCATTAATTTATAAATAACCAAATTAAACAATTAATTGCCAAGGACAAACAGTGCAAAAAATACAAAATAAAATTAATGCAAAAATCAAATAAAAAAGGCAGAGAAAATAGTAAAAAAAGAGAAACAAATTTAATTTCGCATTTGAATGCACAATTTAAATGCATTCAAAAACTCTTTTTTGTGGCCTATAAGTAATTAAAATTTAAATAACTATCACTTGCCCAGGCGCCGGACAACAAAAGATATGCTTCTGTGCGGCGCTAAAAAATAAATAAATAAAAATTATTACGCATACGCCGCGTACAACGTAGGCGAAAGTGCAAATCACAAAAAAAGTAAAGAAATGAACACGTTGACAGGCCGGCAGGCAGGCAAACAAATGAAATTCATTAACACGATTCTAATTACAACAGACAATGCCAGCGACAGTCAGCAAAGGCGATTGTTTAGGGGGCGTGGCAGCGTCAAGGGGCTGGGTGTGCGTGTGTGCATTTTGCATACAAATTGCTAAATTAATGAGCAAAACACAGCCGCACAGTAGATAAAAGCAAATAAATTTGTAAATACGCAGCTCACACATAAAACACACGCACAAAACCAAAGCTGATGGACGAGCTGATACCCTGTGTTTCAGAAACAGTACGCTTATATGAAGTGTATTAAGGGAGGAAGATAGTTCGGTTACGCAAGCTTACATTCATGACCTTTGCTCAAATGTTTTTACAGGGTATACCCTATATAATCATTAGCTGGGCCATTGAGGCACTTTAATAACTGGTTGGCCTGGCTAATTGGAGGCTAAGCAAATATTTGCACTTCAATACCCTTCGCATAGCCAATAAATTATGCAGAGCAGCTGCTCTGTTAAATGTTGCGTAATGTAAAAGCAGCTCAGATACATATATCTGACGCTGGCCAGTAACTAAGCCAATTCTGATTTATATGCCCAAAATTTAAATAACTTTTAAGGACGCCAAACACTTAAAAAATGAATATGCATATATATATATATATATATATATATATATATATATATATATATATATATATATATATATATATATATATATATATATATATATATATGTCTGGGGCACTTCCTGCTTCAGTTAATAAGCCTGGCCTTTTGCAGAGCAGCTGCATTTTACGAGCTTAGCTCTTCTGGCTTTGGCAAACGGTTTTTGGGCACACCGCAGCGCATAGTCGCAAGGTTAATCCTTGCAGGAGCCTGCCTGCACGTCCGTCAGTGGGCAGACCCAGTCAAAGTTATTTCTGGCCCTTTTGAGGTATCTGCTGTCTGACTGCTTATGGCGCGGCGTATGCGGCGTATACGTAACCTAGGCGCACAGGCCGCAAACAGAAATCGAGCACCTGGCTGCACAAACATGCACCTGTACATGTGTTCATAACTGTTTTTAATGGCGCTGCAGCAGGCAGGCAGGCAGGCAAACGCAAACAAAGCCAACAAACAGACCAAAAATCTAGTTCACTTAAAATGTTCTCATTTCCTTCCGCCTGGACTTCCACACACACACACACAGCAGACCAAAACTTCATGTGTGTGTGTGGTGAAAAAGCTTAAGTTAACAACTTATGCCCGTCAGATGAAGTCGAGGGCAGACCGAAGAGGCTCTGAGAGCCTTTACGTTCGCCTCATTGTCGCCGAAACGCATTTAGGAAGGAAATTAGTACGTAAATGTCATAATTTGCAAAAGGACTTTGTGCCAAGGATTATTAAGTCATTATAGACACCCACACACACAAGACGCTTAGTTTTGTGCTCGGAAATGCAAATGGAAGAGCAGTTGCGAGTGCTTCACATATTTAGCGGCAGTTGCGCTGCCAGCTGCCTAGCTAATCAAAATGCAAATTTCAATTTGCCAACTGCTGAAAGCAAAGGGTAAGAAACAAAAGTTAAAAAGCAAAAGACACAGCCAGAACAACAAATCTTTGACTTTCTACCTGTCCGCAAAAGCCAAAAAAAAGTACAAATTATCATGAAAACGAGGGCCAACGATGCGGAACCCAAGGGCAACACATCGAAAGCACAGCTGAGCAGCAGAGTGCGACTGCTGTAATCCTTTTCAATGTTAACTTCCCTCCGGTTAGCGTTGTTCTGATATCCTTTTTCCTACTTTCTTTTTTTGGTTTTTGGTCATGACTCGCTTGATTTCTAACTTATTTATTTGCTACTACCTTCTTTTTAGCTTAGGTTGCCCACAACTTTTGATAATGTCAACAGCATTGAACATAGCCGCAAACCAAGTAACCAGCCAACAGGAACTTCCCTTGCTTTGGCTTTCTTGCTTTAGATTTTCATTTGCTGAACATGAGAAGCAAAGCAGTAAGGAGCAGAGCTCGAGTTGAGTTTGTCAATTTGTTGCAAATGCAGTAAACATCATCTAATTGACGTTGAAATTAACGTCGCTTGTCGCTTGTCGCTTGTCGCTTGTCCCATCAGCAACAGTTGTTCCTCTTGCTTTTGCTGTTGCTCCTCTTGCTGTGCTTGACACATGTCCAACGAGTCTTTCTCTCTGATTTTTTGTCTTGGCCATTTTAATCGTGGCTCGCAGCACCGCTGTCACCGTTGACAGCTGTCTGATTGCTCGGTCTGGTGGCTCAGCCTGCACCACTACTTGCCCCACACGCACACGGTATGTGCACGTCAGCTGGTTTATGTGTGCTTTGCATAATGATTTTAATTGACTGATGGATACAATCAAATTGAAATTGATACGACTATGTGGCATAAACCACTCTACCATAGCTAACTGGAGCAGCTGCCAGTTGCCAGCGCGGTGGCTGATGGCTGCTG